TCAGGCTTCTCTGGAAACACACGTCCGTTCTCAGAGGACCAGCCGTGTGAGCCACCACGCCTGCCAATGGCCGGACCCCCCACCCCCTCAGGGCCCGGGGCCTGGGCACGGCTCCCCAGGAGGGCCCGTCTTCGGGGGCCTGGCACACTCCCTCCTCGCCAGCTGGAGGGAGGACCATCGGGGGTGAGCGCTCGGACAATGGCTGCATTGTCGCCGCCAGGAGCGCGGAGCAGAGGGAGGATTGCTGACAGCGACTTTGTGTCTCCGCCCGCCCCTCGCGTGGAGGCCGCCTTTAGGAGACGAGGGAACTGGCAGGGGAAGGCGTGGCAGCGAGGAATCTGCTTCTGGGAGAAGAATCGCCCTTCAGACTCGCAGGCCGGCGGCTTCTGGCTATTTGCAGCGACGCTATTTTGAGAATCATGAGCCTTAGTTCTCATGGGAGCAGTTTTCCAAAAGCTCCGATGTGTCCTCATTCGGGGTGAAAGGGCCTGCTTGGGGGGCCTGGTGGGGACAGAGGGGCCACAGAGAGGTGTCCAGCAGCTGCGTTTGCTCAGGATGGGGGTGGGTCTGGGGTTGAGGTGGCCGCCAGCCAGGAGCCAGGATGTCAACCCCTGGGAAGAGAAGTGCCGGTGCTCTGGGCAGCGCGTCTCCTGAACGCTCCTCCCCCGCCAGGAGGGGGCAGCAGAGCCTGTCCCTGGAGTTTCAGGTCAGAGGAGGCGCTTCTACCCTGGGGCCCAGCGTGTGGGCAGCCACCAGGAGGCACCCAGACTGGGCACCGAGCAACAGCCAGCCCTACACCGAGAGAGCCGAGGGCACGGTCCACACGGCGTGGCCGGAGCCGAGGGCTGTGGCTCAGCGGGGACCAGCTCCGGCTCCCAGCCCTGCCTCGTGGGGTGGCCCCAGACACGTGGGGTGACCCCCCTGACCCCCAGCAGGGAGCTCACAAACACATTTTGTCTTAAAATGTCTGGGTTCCACTTTCTTTTCTGAAGGATATTTTTCACAGGAATGGATTTTTTTTCTGTCCTCACCTGAGGACATGTTCCCGTTGATTCTAGAGAGAGAAGAAGGGGAAGAGAGAGAGAGAGAGAGAGAGAGAGAGAGAGAGAGAGAGAGATGTGAGAGCGAAACACTGATCCATCGATAGGCTGCTCCTGCGCGCCCCCAGCTGGGGGTGGAGTCTGGCCCAGCATGCACCTGGCTGAGGGGGAACCACCACCCTGCGGTGCAGGAACAACCCAGCCACGGAGCCACGCCCACCGCGCTTCCTGCTGTGTTTGCTCCGTTTTCCAGCTGGTTATGGCGGGAGCTGCATCGTCAGGGCCAAAACTTTCATGCCTGCAGCACCTAAAGCTTCCATCGGGTGCAGATACGTGCACCCACGGTTCCCGTTCCTACGTCTTTGGGGCCCTGAAGTCGCTCCTAATGGTTACGTCAGACCTGGGCTTCCCAGCCGGACAGACCTCGGTCCTCACCCGTGGGGGCCTCACCGAACACTGCCCCCGCCGGCCGGAGGAGGCCAGTGACACCGAGGGAGCTGCTGCAGCACCAGAGCAGGCGTCTGAGCCAGGCGCACAGTAGGTCCTCACGGGGCAAGACGAGGGTTTGCTATTTGGGGTCAGGAGAGCTGCTGTGCGCCTGGCTGAGCCTCCTGCTCAGCGAGGCCCCCTGCTGGCCAGAGCGGCAGCAGCCCCACCCCCAGCCCTGAGGGCATCTGCCGACCCCACCCTGCCAGGCCTCGCCCACCCAGCACAGAGGCACCTCTGTCCTTGGCCCACGCACAGCGGCCTTGCCATCTGAGGTCAGTGAGACCTTTCCCAGCTGCCCGCAGGCCGGCCTGGGCACCGTGGGACACTGCCAGGAGGGGAGGGGAGGGGAGGTCAGCCCGGGGCCGGGGCCGGGGCCGGACAAGGAGAGGGCTGTGTGCCCGCCCGCCCTCCGCCCTGCACGCTCCCTGTGCCCGGGGAGGGAGGGCAGTGGCAGTAGGCAGGGCTCACCCGCCTTGGCAAGGGAGACGGCACCTGGGCAGCCTCATGTCCTCAGCCCTGGGCACCTGGGCACCTGTGACGGGCAGGCCGAGGTCCTGGGGCGGCCGCCTCATGGCACCCCCTCTCCAGGCTGAGCAAACGCTGGAGACTGGAAACAGGCACCCCGGGTGCTCGGACACCCTCAAGCCACAGGAAGATTCTCCTGCGGACGCCGTCCAGGGAGCCGTGGGCCTGGGGTTCCACACACACACACACACCCCGCCGGGACCGCCAGGGGAAGGCCCCCATTTAGTCCGGGTCCAGCAGGCCAGGCGCATGGCTGACCCACCTCCCACCTTACAAACTGAGCCTCGTGTGCAGGCGCTGGACCAGGGGCGCGACAGCGGTGCCCCTCCCGGGCTGTCAGGGAGCGGGGAACCGGGCCACGGCAGCCACTCTGCCTCTCAGGTCTCCAGGCTGGAGAGCCCCCCGCTGGTCCCTGGGCCTCGGGCCTCCTCTCGGCGCGCAGTGAGGCCTGGCCCTGCGTGTCCGGCCCGGGGCTGCGGAGATGGAGGACCCGCCCCTGCCAGCGGAGCAGCGCCAGGCGGCCAGCGGCTCCCTCTCCCCGCCGCCGGTCACTGGCTCTTGACCCGTTCCCGCCAGCTCCGTCTGGGCGACCTCGTGTGTCATCATCAAACCCCTCCTGCTGCAGACAGAGGCCCAGAGCCTGAGCCAGCTGGTCCGAGGGCGGGGGGTGGCCCCCAAGCCGCCCAGGCAGGCGGCAGAGCAGACGCCGATGCTGGAGGGGCCCCTGCAGGTGCCGGGTGCCGGGGCAGGCAGGGGTGGGGTGGGGGTGACCCTGCAGTGGACAAGCCAGGTTCCGAAAGAGGGCTTTCCAGGCAAGTTCTGTGGGCCAGTGGGAACTTCCAGCGCCTCAGTTTCCCCACAGAAGCCCCAGGACACCCCACTGCTTCCCTCCCGCAGGCTGGGCCTTTTGGGTGCAGTACCGGCAATGGCCTCTGGAGGGCAGCAGCTGCCCGCTTTTCCCGGGAGCTGCCTCAAAGCGGCCAGGCCTCCACCCACAGGTGTTAGCCCTCAGCTGCACACACACACACGCACACGCACACGCACACACACAGGTGCCAGACCTCAGCTGCACACACACAAACATACACACACACGCAGGTGCCAGCCCTCAGCCGCACACACACACGCACACACGCAGGTGCCAGACCTCAGCTGCACACACACACACGCAGGTGTCAGCCCTCAGCTGCACACACACACACACACACGCACATGCACACGCATGTGCCAGCCCTCAGCCGCACACACACACACACACACACACGCACACGCACACGCAGGTGCCAGCCCTCAGCCGCGCACACACACACACACACACACACAGGTGCCAGCCCTCAGCCGCACACACACACACGCACACACACACGCACACACGCAGGTGCCAGACCTCAGCTGCACACACACACACACACACACACACACGCACACGCACACGCAGGTGCCAGCCCTCAGCCGCACACATGCACACACACGCAGGTGGGACTGAGGGCAATGAGGCCGCCCTGAGGCCGGCCAGCCTGAGCCGCACGGCCTGACTCCCCGGCAGCTGGCACAGAGCGGCCAGCTCCCCAGGCTGGCCAGCGGGGAGGCAGCGCCAGGAGAGGGTGGGGCTGCACCCGGCGAGGCTGCCCGCGGACTGGCGTGGCCTGCGCCCGCCCTCCACACAGGCTGGGGCCCAGCACAGGCCGTGCCATCCGGAAGCCCACCCCATTGCACAGCTGGGTGGGGTTCAGGTGGAACCACATGGGCCTCTCCTGGAAAGGGGACCTGGAGACAGGCCGGGGGGGGGGGGACTGGGACACCCAGCACCTCAGGGGCTCGGTCCAGGATCTCAGGTCAGGCCAGTGAGTGACCGGGCACTTGCTGAGCGCCAGCTGTATGCACCAGAGCTCTGTGCTGAGATGGACACGCAGGGCAGCAGCAGGAGGCTGTATTAACAGAGGTATGGTGTTCACATGGCAGGAGGTGAGTGTCCCCCTCCTCTTGTCTGGGTGGTCCTGGGCTCTGTTCCCATGCCCACATTTTGAGGGGACTTTGACACATTGTGAGGTGACAGGAGAACTCACTGAACCCCACTTCCTATCGAGACCGACTCAGGGGAGCTGGGGGACAGGGGAGCCGGGGGACAGGGGAGCCGGGGACAGGGGGCACAGGAATCCCGTCCTGGAAGGGTTCGAGCAGAGGCCGGACAGCGCTTCGCCCTGCCCGGGACTCCTCCCACCCAGTGTGATCAGCCACCCCTTTGCCTGGACCCCCAGCTGTGGGCCGTCAGAGGCTCTGTGCAGAGCACCCCCTGGACAAGTCCTGGGGAGGCCGGGCTGGGGGTCCAGGTGACGAATCCTCAGTGTAAAAGGGGGCGAGGGGACCCCCGACCACAGCCCTGGGCTCGGTGCTCTGGGCGCCTGCCCGCACCCGCCCTCCTCCAGGAGTCCAGCAGGGGGCGCGCTTTCGGGCGCAGCGGGTCCGGCCAAGGTCAGGTCCTCCGGGCGGGCGGGTGGCTTCTGGGCTTCCTGGAGGAGGGGGCCGGGAGGAGGGGGCCGGGGGCAGGGGGCCGGGAGGCGGGAGCTGGGAGCCGGGGGCAGGGGGCCGGGGGCCGGGAGCCGGGGAGCCAGGAGCCGGGGAGCAGGGAGCTGGGAGCCGGGAGCGGGGAGCCGGGCGCCAGGCCTGGGAGAGGAGGGCTGTTTAGGTGGCGGGGCGGAGGGCGGGGCGCCGGTGGACTCCGGCCTGACCCGGAGGCGCCCTGACCCTGAGGCCTCGGGGCCGCGGGTCCCGGTAACGGGCGGCCGGGTCTGTGGTGACACCAGCGCTCGCCCAGGTGCCGCCCCGTCCCTCCTGCGGGCTCCGGGCCCACCTGCGCGCACCTGCCCGGCGCCTCCGCCTCCGCCTCCGCCTCCCGCCGCACAGGAAGTGGGAGGGCGGGGCGGGCCGCGCAGGAGGCCGCGGGCGGAGCGGGAAGAGCCGGCCCGGAGCCTGCGGGCTGCACCGGCCCCGCCGCCCCTGGTCGCTGTGCCTCCACCCCGCGGGCAGGTGAGCCCCGGACAGGTGAGCAGGGGGCTGGGGGGAGGACAGGAGAGCCGGGGGACAGAGGAGCCGGGGGACAGAGGAGCCGGGGGACAGAGGAGCCGGGGGACAGGGGAGGGGGGGGTGTGGACAGGGGAGCCGGGGGGACAGGGGAGCGGGGGGGGGTGGACAGGGGAGCAGGGAGGGGTGTGGACAGGGGAGCGGGGGGACAGGGGAGGGGGGGGTGTGGACAGGGGAGCCGGGGGGACAGGGGAGCCGGGGGACAGGGGAGCGGGGGGACAGGGGAGCGGGGGGACAGGGGAGCGGGGGGACAGGGGAGCGGGGGGACAGGGGAGCGGGGGGGGGGGTGGACAGGGGAGCGGGGAGGGGTGTGGACAGGGGAGCCGGGGGGACAGGGGAGCTGGGGGACAGGGGAGCTGGGGGGACAGGGGAGCTGGGGGACAGGGGAGCTGGGGGACAGGGGAGTGGGGGCGGGGTGGACAGGGGAGCAAAGTGGGGGGGGGGAAAGGCAGGGGGGAGGCAGGAGCCCTGGGGCGCCGTTCGTCCCCTCCATTTCCCCCACCCTCCCAGCTAACCCCGTGGGGCCCTCGGAGCTCTGGGCCGGCCCTCCGCGGGGCGTCCCGCTGGTGCCCTGGTGCCGGTGCGGGAGGAGGCGGGGCCCAGTGCTGAGCCCGCGCTGGCTCTGGCCGGCTGGGCACTCCTGGCCCAGGTGGGGAGCTCTCGCAGCCCCCGGACCTCAGGGGCGGCTGTAGGGAGGAAGCCCCGGCCTGTGAGTGGTGAGGAGGGACCGAAGGGCCCTCAGGGACAGAAGCTGCTGCCCACACCCGCTTGGTCCCAGGAATGCAGACCCACCCCCGCCCGGAAGCCGGGGGCCGAGATGGGCGGGGCCGGGGCAGCTCTGACACCTGAGTGGGGTGGGCAGCGTCTCTGAGGCTGGGGTGGCTCTCAGCCCAGCACCGGGCACCAGGCGGGCGTGGGGCAGGCACGGGGGCGGGGCTGAGTGAGTGGCCGTGCTTTGCCCTCCGTCCTGGGGCAAGCGGCAGGGGGCCTTTCAAGGCCCCGGGTGGCACCTGCGGTCCTGGCTGCAGACCCGGCACATGGGGCACCCGGCACATGGCGGCCTGGCGCTCGGCGGGGACCCGCGTTCTGAGCCGGCTCCTGGGGACCAAGGCCGGGGTGCAGCCCGGGCCTCTGCTCTGGCCGCCTGGTCCGCGCGCTGCCCTCCCCCCGTGCCCGTGGCCCAGGGGGGACGGGCCCCAGCGGGCACTGCCGGGGCAGGGCCAGGGCCGAAGGCAGGCCCCCGGCCCCGAGGCCTGGCGGAGGGAGGGTGGGAGCTGGGGGTGTCAGGGGCTCCCTGGAAGGGGAGGGTCTTAAGTCACGGGGACAAAAGCGAGCCCCCAGCCCAGTGGCCTGGTTCCCGGGGTCATGACCTCTGACCCCGGGGGGAAATGGAGGCAGGGAGGGAGGCAGCCCGGGGTGGGTCCACGGTCGCTGCCCAGGACAGCCGTCCACGTGTGGGACCGACGGGCTCAGCTGCTCACCAAGCGTCTGGGTCCCGGGACTTGGTTTCCACACGGATGTCCGCTGCCCGTGGCGGTCCGTGGTGGCCCGTGGCGGCCCGTGGCGGCCGTGTGCTCGCCCCGCCGCCTGTCAGGGCGCCCTCACCCCCGGCGAGCGCCCCACGCGCCTGCCGGGCCTCCATGGGGCCAGGACGTCTGGACAGCCTGCTCCCCGCCAGCTCTGCTGCCCGGCCGCCTGACCCCCAGGCCATGTTCCCTCTGTGCCTGGTCCCCTCGCCCGTCCCAGCAGGACCAGACCGGCTCCCGGAGGGGAGGGGAGGGGCCGAGGACGGGAGGAGGCATTTGGAGGACGCCCTGGTCGCCTGTCCGGCTCCCACTGAGCCCGGGCCATGGGGAGACGCGGTGTGTGCCAGCGGGCGGAGGCGGGAGCCGGGGCGGGGCGCCTGGCTCCAGGGTGGGAGCCTGGGGCGGGGGCAGGGACAGGGGGCCTGGGGGCGGCGCTGCGGTGAGCAGGACAGCGGGCGGTCAGGGACGATGCTGGGCCTGCAGGTGTCACGGAGGAGGCGGCCGGAGGCGGGTCCCGGCTGGGCGTGGGGGGTGGGCCTCCCCAGCCCCTCCGTGAGGGTGAGTCCCCGCTCTGTCCCGGCCTCGGCGCTGAGGACACTGGTTCCAGATCGCCCTGCGGGGGGCGCCCTGTGCCTGTGGCCCCTCAGCAGCACCTGCCCTGCCTCCCCCTCCGTGCGGCCAGGGGCCAGGCCTGGCTGTGGCCGTGGCCGCCCTGCACGTGGAAGTGTCTGCGCCAGCTGCGTGGCTTACAGAGCCGTGGCCGCCCCGGGCCCCGCGTCTCCGGCGTGGCGGGCAGTTACGGCGCACAAGGCCGTCGTGGTGGCTGCTGTGCGTGAGCGCAGGTCTGGGGCGGCGGACGGTGCCGGGGAGCCCGGGCCTCACCAGGACCTGGGGGTCGGCAGAGGGGACGGCTGTCCCCAGGATGGAGGCCGCACGGTGCCCGCATCCAGGGGTGGCAGGTCCCACTGCGGTGTGACTTGGGTGCTGGCGGCTGCGAGAGCAGGTGCGACCAGAGCCTCGGGCCCGGCCAGGAAGTGTGCCTCTCAGGGGAGAGGGGCGGCTGGGCCTGCTGGGGTCCCGGGCCCATCTGTCCAGGGAGCCAGAGGGGCCGGACTGCCAGGAGGGGGTGGGGGTGAGGGTAGGGGGCAGGGCAGGATGGCGAGGGGCTCAGCCATGGGGGACCCTCCCGGCCGGCCCTGAGCAGACGGCAGGAGGTCGCCCACACGGAGCCCCTGACGCACCGAGGGCGCCCGCAGGGCGAGCTCCCGGCACAGCTGCTGGGAGAGCAGGACGGCGGCCTGTGCCCGTGGAGCTGGGCTCACCGGGGTTTGGGCCTGTGCCCGGCGGGGGCTGTGCCCGGCGGGGCCGTGCCCGGGAGGCTGTCCTGCTCCCTGAGGGCACGCACTCTGGGGAAGCTGCCCGGCCTCACTGCCCGGCCTCTGAGCCTCCGCCGCCTCGCGGGAGTGGACCCCCTGGTGGCGGCTGGCTCTCAGCAGCTGCTGCCCGGACGGCCCGGCTGGCATTTGCCCCGAGGGCAGCTGAAGGGCCGGTGCTCCCGGACGCCATGCCAGCACCAGGGAGGACACTGAGGGGAGGGCCTCTAGGTCCCACGCAGGAGAGGCTGCTGGGTAGGGACACCTCAGGGTCAGGGAGAGGTCAGGGAGGTCAGCAGTGTGTGCCCCCCTGTGTGCTCCCCTGTGTGCACGCGCAGCCCGCACAGGGCCTCCCTTCGGCGCAGCAATGGAGGGACAGCGGGCACGGTGAGGGGCCACAGGGGAGGAGGATCAGACGGCCCAGGCCAGCCCGGAGCAGTGGGGCCTGGAGAGGAGCCGGGCGACGGGTGGACGTGTGATCAGGGCGGGCAGGCCCCTTGGGGAGGGGGAGCGGCTGCGGGACAAGAGGGGGTGCTTGTCGGAGAGGAGCTGGGCCGTCCACTCCGCCGCACACAGACGCTCGGGTATCGCTGCGGGCGGCTGCGCCTCAGTGAAGAACGGGGGACGCAGCAGCCCAGCGTGGCCGCCTGCGGGGGCGCTGCGGGGGCGGCCTGTCGGGTGGCACGCCTCTGGGTGCTGTTTGGATGGCGCCGGTGCCGGGTCGCTCTGGGACAAGCTAAGCAGCAGGAGGGGCACAGCCTGGAGCTCCTGCCTCTCCCGGGCCGGGGGGTGCCGCCTGGCTGGGCACCTAGGCCACACCCTGCCGTGGCTCGGCCGACTGGTTCCATCCGGGCACTTCCCCGGAGCAGACTTTGCCCTCGGCTGGGAGAGGCCGTGGGCCCGGCCGGCTCAGGAGGGAGAGCGGCAGGGCGGGCGGCAGGAGGAGGGAGGGGAGGCGACAGGACAGGCGTGTGGGCATCGGGCACGGGCGCTGCCGCCCTCAGAACCAGAGGCGAAGGGACGGGCGTGTGGGCATCGGGCACAGGCGCTGCCGCCTCAGAGCCGGAGGCCTCGCCCTCGGGCGCCGGCTGCCTCGCGCCCATCAGCTCGGGGGCAGGCTCCCCAGAGCCGTTCTGGCCGGGCGGGGAGCAGCCACGTCACCAGCGGGCGCGGGGGAGGCAGTGGCCGCCTTCCTCTTCCGGCTGACTCAGGCTGTCCCCAGGAATGCGGGGGCGGCCGCCGCGCGGGGGCGGCCGGCTCTGGGCCCGGGAGGCACGCCCGCCTCCTCCCGGGTGTTAGCGGAGAGCCCGTCCGGTGCCACAGAGCGTCAGCTGTGCTGCGGGCTAGGTCGCCCGGTGCCCGGCTCTGCCCGCCCCGCAGGGAGGGTCCCTGGGCCAAACTGGAGTTCCCGGGAGCTCGCAGACCCCACGTTGGGCAGGGGGGTGAGGTGGGCGCGGGCTGGCACCTGCCCGGTGGGAGTGGTGTCCACAGGCCGCCCGGCAGGTCCCATCCCAGGCCCGGGGCCCAGGACCCCGCTGCCCGCGCTGCCGCACTGCACCCCGGCTCAGGTTTGTCCGAGGAAGCATGACGGCCTCGCAGGGCGGCCTCAGCTGCCGGCTGCTCCCATCTGGGTCCCGCAGGCCGAGGTGCAGGGGCCCTCCCTGCCCGGCCCCGGCCCCTCACTGCCGTATGCGGTGCCCGGCAGTCCCGGCAGCTGTGTCCGTGCCCGCAGCTGACTGTGCCTGACCCCGCTGACCGTGCCTGACCCCGCTGACCCGTGCCTGACCCCGCTGACCCGTGTCTGACCCCGCTGACCCGTGTCTGTCCCCGCTGACCCGTGCCTGACCCCGCTGACCCGTGTCTGACCCCGCTGACCCGTGCCTGACCCCGCTGACCCATGCCTGACCCCGCTGACCCGTGTCTGACCCCGCTGACCGTGTCTGACCCCGCTGACCGTGCCTGACCCCGCTGACCGTGCCTGACCCCGCTGACCCGTGTCTGACCCCGCTGACCCGTGCCTGTCCCCGCTGACCCGTGTCTGACCCCGCTGACCCGTGCCTCTCCCCGCTGACCCGTGCCTGGCCCCGCTGGCCCGTGCCTGTCCCCGCTGACCCGTGCCTGACCCCGCTGACCCGTGTCTGTCCCCGCTGACCCGTGTCTGACCCCGCTGACCCGTGTCTGACCCCGCTGACCCGTGCCTGACCCCGCTGACCCGTGCCTGACCCCGCTGACCGTGCCTGACCCCGCTGACCCGTGCCTGTCCCTGCAGGACCCCGCGGCTGCCGCCATGGCCCAGCGGCGCTCGGACGGCTCGCTGGAGGAGCAGCTGCTGGAAGGCCGCTTCCACTCGGAGCTGCGGCTGGACGCCCAGGGGAACCCCGAGCCGCGGCTCCCGCTGGTCCGGAGCCCCCTGCAGGGCCGGAGCAACGCCGTCTTCCAGCCGGACTCCCCGGGGGCCCCGGCCTCGTCCCCGGAGGCCCGGGAGCCGCGCCCCGTGGTGCTGAGCACGCAGAGCCCCGCGGCCCTCAAGCTGGGCACCGCGCAGCTCATCCCGCGCAGCCTGGCCGTGGCCAGCAAGGCCCGGGCCCCCGCGCGCCACCAGAGCTTCGGCGCGGCCGTGCTCAGCAAGGAGGCCGCCCGGCGGGAGCCCCGGCTCCTGGCCGCCCCCAGCTTCTCCCTGGACGACATGGACGTGGACGCGGGCCCCGGGGGGGCGCTGTCCCGGAACCTGCGCAGCCAGTCCTACCGCGCGGCCATGAAGGGCCTGGGGGCGCTGGGCGGCGAGGCGGCCCCCGTGCAGCTCAGCCCCAAGCTCCACGCACTGGCCGAGGAGGCCCCGCCACCCGCCCGGCCCTCACCCAGACACAAGGTGGGCCCGCGCCTGGACAAGGCGGGGGGTTGTGCCTCGGGCCCCGGGAGCTGTGGGGCCGGGGGCAGGGGCAGCCATGGCATCACCCTCCCAGCTGCCGCTTCTGAGCACCTGCCACGTGCAGGCTCCTGACCGCCATTCCCTGAGCCCAGAGCCGGCTGTGAGCTGGGGCTCAGTGCCGGGGGCTGAGGCACAAAAAAACCATTTTACAGATGAGGCAGCTGAGGCTCAGACAGGCCCAAGCTGTTGCCCAGGGCCCTGTAGTGTGAGTGGCTCTCGGACACAGCAGGGCAGCCTTGGGCGGGACCAGCCCCAGGGGAGCCGGCCGGCTCACGGGCCGGGCTCAGGGGGGCTCAGGGGTGGCGTTGCAGCCGCTGGCCTGGGCGCAGTGCCGGGGGCTCCCGTCGAGGACTCAAGGGTGGGAGCTCCGGCTGCCTCCGCTCAGGAGCAGTCTGCCGCCCTGGGCACACACAGCCCCCTCCTGCCCGCATCCACCTGGCCTCTGCCGGCTGGGGAGCCCAGGGCAGGCCCGGGGCAGCCAAACGGCACCTCACCCGGGACCTCTGTGCCCAGGGCTGCCCTCCGACGGCCTCCCAGCTTAGGGCTCCTGCCCAGGCTGTGGGGAGACAGGCCCCGGGTGCAGACAGGCCCCGGGTGCAGACAGGCCCCGGGGTGCAGACAGGCCCCGGGTGCAGACAGGCCCCGGGTGCAGACAGACCCCGGGGTGCAGATGGGCCAGGAGAGGAGGCCACAGCCACTGTCCTGGGTTTAAAGATGCCGGCCTGGGGGGGCGGACGCTGCCCAGCGCCGGGCCTCCCTGAGGAGACGGGCCCTGGGCCTTGCCTCAGCCTCAGCCTCCACCGTCAGAGCCAGGCCTGCGGGGCCATGGCTCCTTCTGTTGTCACAGGCTCTGTGCAGGGGGCGGGGGGCCCAGGAGTGCTCGGTCAGGCCCAGGAGTGCTCCCGCACAGCGGGCATGCTCAGGGACCCGGGGGAGCCCAGGGCAGGGACTCCCCGGAGCACAGGGCCTGGGGCTCGGAAGGGGAGGTTAGAGCAAGGCACGGGCGGGCGAAGGGCGGGGCCGGGTGGAGGAGGGGCCGAGGCAGCAGCCTGTGCCAGACCTGGAGGCGGGAGGGGAGAGGGCGCTGGGGGACAATGCAGGGTGGGCGGGGGGAGGGGGCGCAGGCCCAGGTGCACTGGCAGCGCCACACATCCCAGACAAGCTCGGGAGGTTCAGGCCCCGACTCGTCAGGAGAACCAGCCGGCACCTGTGAGGCAGGGGACATGCATCCCGCCAGGAAGGCAGCTCTGAGCAGCAGCTGGTGGGCCGGGGGGTTGTGCCCGCTCCCCTCGCAGCCCTGCCTCCGCTGCCCGGCCTGCCTCTTCCTGCCGCCTCAGGCCACCCGCCCGAGGGGTCCTGCGTGCGGCCTCCACGCCCTCCGAGGGTCCCTCTCGGCCTTCTCCTACCCACGCCGTTCCTGCCTCGGGCTTCCCCGAGTGGCAACACCCCACTTTCCTGAGCACCCCTCTTAACGGATCCAATCCTGCCTCCACCTCCAGGCAGCCCTCCTGGACCTGCCCAGACTTTAGTCACCTGCCCTGACCTCCTCTCGGCGGCCCGCCTCCGCAGAGCACTATGGGGTGGCTCCTGTGTGCTCCGCAGAGCACAGAGCTGAGTGGTCTGAGCCCGAGGGGAGGGGCCGCTCTGGGCCACACCTGCCCCCTCCCCGCTGACCGGTGTTTCTGTCTTGTTTGCACAGAGGACGCTGGGGCGGAAGCGCGCGCACAAAGGCTCCTTTAAGGACGGTGAGTGGCCGGGGGCTGCGGGGGCTGGGCCGGACCCTGTGGTCTCGCCGGGGGACGGGGAGGGGTCTGCAGGGTTCCTCCGGGACCAGAGGTCCTAGTGGCCGCCTGGCCATGTAGCACCGATGGGTCTAGAAAGGCCTAGAAGTTTCCCTGCTGCGCCATCCGGGGGGCAGGAGACAGACAGCCCCCCACACACACACCCCAGGCGACAATGGCCCACCGTGTGTGTATGTGTGTGTGTATGTGTGTGTGTGTGTGAGGGGGCTGTGGTAGCCACACGGGGGACCAAGGTGCCAGGGGGAGGGCACACCTGCTGGGCTCTGTTGGGGTCGCCTCAGACACGGGGGCCCCGTGGGGGAGCTCGGAGGGCATGGGCGGCAGCTGCGCCATCAGCCTGCAGCGGTGGGTGCCAACAGGGGAAGTGCCTGCCCAGCCAGGATGGAGCACCCGCTGGGCATGGGGGGTCCAGCGAGACCAGGAAGGGTTCGGGCCTGGGTGCCAGGCTGGGCTTCTGAGGACACGGGCCCAGACAGGGGGGGTCCACCCTCCCTGCCAGCCTCGACCTCTGTGGACGAAACAGGCCAGGGTGGGGGTGTGAGGACCCGGCTCCTGCCCAGGCCCCGGGGAGGCGTGGAGGGGAGGCGTGGAGGGGTTTGGGGGGCCCTCGGGGCCCTGAGTGGGGGACCTGGCCGTTCCGGGCCTGCAGTGTGGGAGCGGGACGCAGCCCTGGTCTGAGGGCTCTGGGCCAGCCCCCCCCCCCAGGCCTCTGCAGCCCCACCCCCCACCCCGTGGGCTCTGACTTGTCAGCTCCTGGTCTGAAGGTGCCACATTCTGCACCCACTGGGTGCCACCCTGCCTGCCCGCCAGCGGCCCGGGGGGCCTGCTCCAGGGGCGCCGATGTTCTCCAGGGCTCCCCGGGCCTCGGCCTGTGGGTTCGGGGGGGACCAGGCCCACTCCCGGCCCCCAGGCCCCCGCATGACGTGCCCCCTTCCCCCAGACCCCCGGTTCTACCAGGAGATCCGGGAGCGGGGCCTGACCACCAGCCAGGAGTCCGACGACGACCTGCTGGACGAGCCAGGCAGCCCCGAGCAGGCGCGGACGGTGGGCGCCCCCATCGTGGTCAAGAGCTTCCGGGCCCCCCAGGTCACCTGGAGCCAGCTCCCCGAGGTAGGCCCCCCCCAACCTCAGTCACCTGGAGCCAGCTCCCTGGGGTAGGCCCCCCCCAACCTCAGTCACCTGGAGCCAGCTCCCCGAGGTAGGCCGCCCCCACCCCGGTCACCTGGAGCCAGCTCCCCGGGGTAGGCCCCCCCCACCTTAGTCACCTGGAGCCAGCTCCCCGAGGTAGGCCCCCCCCAACCTCAGTCACCTGGAGCCAGCTCCCCGGGGTAGGCCCCCCCCTCCCCGGTCACCTGGAGCCAGCTCCCCCCCCGCCCGTGGGCAGTCAGCGCCCACCCCCCTGCAGCCACAGGAGAGCTCGCCCGTGTCCTGAGCAGCCCGCCCTGCCCTGCACCCCGGTCTCAGAGGGGCCAGGGCAGATGCCGTCAGGGTGTGATGGGCGTCCCAGCTGAGCCCGTGCTCTGCTTCCTGCCAGCCCGGCCTCCGGGGAGCCATGGGGACCAGGGACCCCTCCCGCAGGGCCCTGCCCCGGGAAAGTGCCAGGGGGCCCCCTGAGGAGGCAGGAGGGGATGGGGCGAGGCCAGGCCTCGGCTCCCACAGAGCCCGTGCCACGGCCGAGCCAGCCTCACGCCGCCTGCAGGGATGGGGACTCGATGAGACCACAGGAGGGGCCGGCTCAGAGCACGTGCTGTCACCCCGAGGCCCAGGCGGCCATGGGCAGACTCCTGACCGTCCCCGGGGTCCCGGTGGGAGCTGGGCAGCCGCGGTGGGCGCGGCAGGCAGTGGGGCGGGCACGCGGTGTCTCCTGTCTGCGGTTCTCGGGCTCCTGGCGGGCACCCGGAGGGGGTGAGAGCTGAGACTGCAGGACCCCGGCCGGGAGGCGCAGGCTGGGGTGAGGGTAGGCGGATGGGGAGTGGGAAATGCGTGCCCACCTGCCGGTGCCAGCTGCGTGCCAGGGGCCAGGCCCGTGGCCCTGGGGCCCGTGGCCTTCAGGACGCTGCAGCCTCCATGCACGACGGGGTTTCTGACCCCACCCCCTGCGCTGGGTCTGGGCTAGAGGAACAGGCATGGGGCTTGCCCCCCCATCCTCCTGTACCCCCCATAGACCTAGGACACGGCCTGTGCCCAGCCTGGAGGGAGGAGCAGGAATGGGTGGCACTGGGTCCTACAGAGGGGTGCCCTCAGGCAGAGGCACAGCCCAGCCTGTCCCGACGGGCACGCATGGCTGAGAGCCACACTCCGCCAGGGCAGCCTGGAGGCCCGGCCCTGACAGGCAGGGAGCCGAGTAGGGCGCCCGCTGGAGCAGTGTCACCCCCTCTCCTGTCCGGGCGCTGACACTGGGCGCAGACCCCAGCTTTCCCAGGCGGCCCCGCCCTCTGCACCCCTCCTGCTGTGTGCCTTCAGCCTTTCTCTCCGGACTCCGCTCCTCCTCCCTCGCGCCCCAGCTCCCTGAGGGTGCAGGGCCCACCCAGGGCTGTGTCCCTGGAGAGGAGAGAGCAGGTGACGGGACCAGGCAGGGATGGCCCCTCCCGCCCAAAGGCGGGCCCACAGCGCTGAGCCTGGGAGAGGGCTCCCGGCCAGCCCGGCTCCGCCCACTCCAGCCCCTCTGGCGTCCACGGCGGCCCCGGCCGGCAGGGAGGACTGGGGACACGTGGCCCCTGACCCAGGCCTGTGCCCGCAGGTGGTGGAGTCGGGCGTCCTGGACACGCTGCCGGCTGAGGAGCGCAAGAGGCAGGAGGTGAGCAGCTCGGTGGGCAGCCCTGTGTCCCAGCCTCACCGTGCGGGAAGGGGGACAGCGGCCATGGTGACATTGCCTGCCTGCTGGCCCCCCGCCCCCCACCACCTCCTGGGCCAGACACCAGGGCGATGGCTGATGCCCTTGGCGGGTGGGGCAGCGCTGGGGCAGCGACTGCTCCCCCTGGCGTATGTCACAGCTCCTATTGGGCCGAGCCAGGGGCAGACCTAGGAGTCGGGTTCCCGGCCCCCTGGCTGCGTGTTCATCCCACCAGGGCTGGTCACCTATCCCCCCACCCCCCCGTCCCCGCCCTGAGCGCTCGGCTCAGACCGCCCTGGGCAGCCGTGTGTGTGTGTGTGTGTGTGTGTGTGTGTGTGTGTATGTGTGTGTGTGTGAGTGTGCATGTGCGTGTGTGTGTGCGTGTCCAGGCTGCCCTGGCACGGCTCCTCCAGTCCGCTCTCCGCCCCACCCCCAGGCCATCTTCGAGATCCTGACGTCCGAGTTCTCCTACCAGCACAGCCTGGGCATCCTGGTGGCCGAGTTCCTGCAGTGCCGGGAGCTGCGGGCCACCATGACACAGACGGAGCACCACCACCTCTTCTCCAACATCCTGGACGTGCAGGCCGCCAGCCAGCGGTGAGCTGCACCCCCGCTCCGACACCCCACCGCCCCCCAACCACCCACCATCCGCCCATCACATCCCACCCCCCGCCCCCACAGCCCACCATCCGCCCATCACATCCCACCCCCCGCCCTCACAACCCACCATCCGCCCTTCACATCCCACCCCCCGCCCCCACAGCCCACCATCCGCCCATCACATCCCACCCCCCGCCCCCACAGCCCACCATCCGCCCATCACATCCCACCCCCCGCCCTCACAACCCACCATCCGCCCTTCACATCCCACCCCCCCGCCCCCCACAACCCACCATCCGCCCATCACAACCCACCGCGTGCCCGGAGCACACCCCCCTCGGACTGGGAGAGGGAGAACCCTTGGGCCCTGAGGCCGGAGAGTGGCCCGGGAGCGCTGAGCGCAGACGGTGGGTGTCCTGGGACCCTGCCCGCCCCTGAGGGTCAGAGGGGGCACCTCCTGGGCGATGGCTCTGTCCAGCCACAGGCACGGCACGTGCCCACCAGGGCCCCGGGCCCAGAGCTGCCTGGCCGGGCGTGAGGCGCCCACAGGGCGGGGGATGGCGTCTCCTCGCACCGGGTCATGTTCCTCCGGGTGTCTGGTGCCGCCCCGGCTCTGGTTGCAAGGCAGGAGGTGGGGGAGGGGGTGGGTGTGCCGCTGCAGGCTGGTGTGGGGCTGTGTGCGTGCGTGCACATGTGCACGTGTGGGTACACACGCACAGCAGCAGGTATGTGTGCATGTATATGAGTGCATACATATATGTGAGGTAGCAACTGTTTGCATGTGTGGGTTGTGTGCATGCATGCACATGTGTACAAGTGGGTACACATGTATTGTAGCAGGTATATGTGCATGTGTGAGTGCATGCATATGTGTACATGTGTGGGATAGCAGCTGTTTGCATGTGTGTGTGTGAACACACCGTGTGTGTGTGTGCGCACATGTGGGCAGCAGTTGTGTATGTACTCCCATGGCGGGCACAGTCCAAGGATGCTCTGTGGCCATTCATGCGGCTTCCCCAGGGATTGGCTGCTTTGGTCAGTGGCTCAGGCCATCTCAGACCTCCCAGCCCCTTCTCAGAACCTTCCAGAATGCCCGCAGGGGCTGCTGGCCAGCACGCCTGCCTGTGCCTGTGTGCCATCTTTCTGGACACACTGCCATTTGCCGGCTGCCCGTCAGCCTCAGAACGTCCCGCGGAAAGAGACCCTGGTCCCTGTGGTGGGGGCAGGCCGGGCCTGTGAGGGGCCTGAGGGACGGGGCCAAGGCCCATTCCCCTCCCTGCCCCCCTCACTGGCCTCGCCAGGGCAGCCAGAGCCGGCCCCGTCTTCCCGGGGCCCATGGTGGGTGGGGGGCCCGTTTCCTCATGGTGGAGCCGGCCGCAGTCCTGGGGGTGCTGACTGGCCCCACCTCCCTGTCTGGGTACCAGCTCCCCCTCCCGCGGGGGGAGCAGTGAGGCTGCGGCCCAGCTGGTTACTTGGTGATGAGATGCAGGCCGCCGGAGGTCGCCGTGCGGGTCTGAGCTCTGGGACTCTGCCCTCTGCCCTCTGCGGTCAGCCAGCATCTTATCTCCACGCAGGGCTATTCCGGGCTGGCCCAGCTCAGGGACAGAGAGACGCTGCGCGGGTGTGGCCTTGGCCCGGCCCAGAGAGGGACCTCGGCTGCCATGGCCAGGCCTGGGGAGGTGGGGCCTGGGGAGGTGTGGGCCGGGGAGGTGGGGCCTGGGGAGGTGTGGGCTGGGGAGGTGTGGGCCGGGGAGGTGTGGGCTGGGGAGGTGTGGGCCGGGGAGGTGTGGGCTGGGGAGGTGGGGCTGGGGAGGTGTGGGGCCTGGGGAGGTGTGGGCCGGGGAGGTGTGGGCCGGGGAGGTGTGGGCTGGGGAGGTGTGGGCTGGGGAGGTGGGGCCGGGGAGGTGTGGGCCTGGGGAGGTGTGGGCTGGGGAGGTGTGGGGTCTGGGGTCCGGCACCTGCTGGAGGCTGCAGCAGAGCCTGTGGAGCAGTGACCTGTCGGCCCAGCCCAGGGCAGCGGCTGCCTGTGGGGGCAGAGCCTGGCCAGTCCTCCCCCCCCAACGTTGGCTCAGGCATCCTGCCAGGCCTAGGTGCACCGAGCCTCGGGGACCCCCAGGAGGGTTGGTGTGGCTGTCACCTCGGGGAGTCTGCCCGGGCAGCGCTCTGAGCTGGGCGGTGCTGGGCTGGAGGCAGGTCTGGGCCTCTGACCACGTCCCGGGAGTGGATCCGGGTGGAGTTCGGTCCGGCCGCCAGCGTCCCGGGGCCACAGCTCCCGCCGAGCCGGAGGGCGTGGCCTTGGCTTTGGCCCAGGGTCTGTGCCCAGTCATTCCATGCTGCCCCGGAGCTGAGCTGGGTGCGTGTGTGCGCACATGCATGTGTTTGTGTGTTTCGTGTGTGTGTGTGTGTGTGTGTAGTATATGTGTGCTGTCTTCTGTACATGTTTTGCACATGTGCCTTGTGTGTGGAGGTGTGTGCGTGCGTGTGCATGTGCGCTCACACGTGCGGTGGGCTCAGCCCGGTCCTCGCCCGGAGCAGGTTCTTCGAGGCCCTGGAGCGGCGGCACAAGGCGCAGGTGTGCGTGGAGGACATCAGCGACATCCTGGAGGAGCACGCGGAGCGGCACTTCCACCCCTACGTGGCCTACTGCTCCAACGAAGTCTACCAGCAGCGCGCCCTGCAGAGGCTCACGTGAGCGGCGGGGGCTGCGGCTGCGGGGCGCGGCCCGCCCCAGCCCGGCGTCCGGATCTGACCCCCCCCCCCCGCCCGCTCCCCAGGAGCAGCAACGCCGCCTTCCGGGACGCCCTCCGGGAGATCGAGCGGCGGCCGGCGTGCGGCGGGCTGCCCATGATCTCCTTCCTCATCCTCCCCATGCAGAGGGTCACCCGGCTGCCCCTGCTGACCGACGTGAGCACCGGCCGGTCCGGGGGGGAGGGGGCGCCGGGGGGGAGGGGGCGCCGGGCCCCGGGGGGGTGTGCCGGGCCCCGGGGGGAGGGGCGGCCGGGCGCCCGGGGGGGCGGGGTCGCCGGGGCCCCGGGGTGGGGGTTGCCGGGCCCGTGGGGGCTGGGTTGCCGGGGGGGGCGGGGCGGGGGCGCCGGGCCCGGGGGAGGGGGCGCCAGGGGGGAGGGGGGGGGGCGCCGGGCCGGGGGGGGGGGGGCGCCGGGGGGAGGGGTGCCAGGCCCGGGGGGGGGGCGCCGGGCCCCGGGGGGGGGGGGTGCCGGGCCCCGGGGGGAGGGGCGCCGGGGGGGAGGGGCGCCGGGCCCCAAGGGGGGCGCCGGGTCCGGGCTCACGCTGGACCTCCTCCTCCACCCGGCACCTGTGAGTGACAGTGACGAGGGGCTTGATAATTCTCTAGTCGCCATGGCGACGTGGTCCTGGCATCATCTTCGTCACCGTAGAACGGTCTCTGCCGGGACCCAGCCCTGTGCTGGACGTGACAGCGCGTGGATGGTCTTACCGGGGTCTCCCAGACCCCTGCCAGCATCGGTCCTGGGCCTTGGTGCCTCCTCTGAGCACCCCCCCAGCCCATTGTCCCGGTGCGGAGAGGGCTCAGAGGGCTCCTGGAGTGGCTTGCGTCTCAGATGTTGGCTCAAGGGGCAGAGGGGCATGTGAGGGTGAAAGGCACATGCATGCACATGTATGCACATGTGAACACACACGTGGCAGGAGCCCGGCTATGCTCCTGAGGCAGCATGTGGCCCTGTGCTAGGTGGCCCCTGTCCAGGCCAGAGGGGACATCCCCGGGCATTCTGGGAGAGTAGGAACAGAGGCTCTGGGCCCCTGGCTAGACGAAGGTTACAGGACGGAAAGGAACGGGTCCTGGGCCCCCACCGCCTGGCCTGGCTGAGCCGTGTGGGCGCTGTCCCCCCCAGGAGCCCCGGCCTCCTGGCCCCCACCCAGTCTGGTGCTGGGAGGGGGCCTCCCCCACGCAGACCGCTGAGCCAGGGACAGGAGGTGCCTGGTGCCCCCTCACCTGCCGTCTCCCTGCAGACACTCTGCCTCAAGACCCAGGGCCACCCCGAGAGGTACAAGGCGGCCAGCCGCGCCTTCAAAGCCATGAACAAGGTGAGGGGGACCCCACCCCGAGAGCAGAGGCCCTGGGGTCCGGCGGGACACTGTCTGGATACCGTCCACCCCAGGCTCCCCGTGGCGCCCGTGGGGAGACGGGGCCAGAGGGAGCGTAGCTCTGGCAGGGCAGGACAGGGACAGCCAGGGGGCGGCGCTGGGCCGCGGGGTGCAGCCCGCCCACCGCCCCGCCCGCCCCGCAGCTGGTGAAACAGTGCAACGAGGGGGCCCACAAGATGGAGCGCATGGAGCAGATGTGCACGCTGCAGACGCAGCTGGACTTCGGCAAGGTCAAGGTAGGCGGCCCAGGCACGCCCGCTGTGCCCGCTGTGCCCGCCGTGCCCGCCGCCCGGCTGGCCCTGGCCTGTCCCAGCCCGACTGCTCCCCACCGAGGAGGCCCCCCGGGCGCCGAGGGGGCACCCGGCAGGCACAGCGAGCCCGGCCGGCTCAGGGCCGGCCGGATAGCCCTTCGCCGGCGGCCGGGAGGCCTCTCCTGGCAGCCCCGGGGTCGGCCCCCACCAGCAGCTGCCGGCCTGGCCGCCCGGGACCCGGGCTTGACGTCTGTCTGTCCCCAGTCCCTCCCGCTGATCTCGGCCTCCCGCTGGCTGCTGAAGCGCGGGGAGCTGTTCGTGGTGGAGGAGACCGGGCTGTTCCGCAAACTCGCCAGCCGGCCCACGTGCCACCTGTTCCTGTTCAACGATGTGCTGGTGGTCACCAAGAGGAAGAGGTGGGCCCCTCCCGCAGGCCGGTCTGCGCCATGGGCCGTGGGCTGAGGGCCGTGGGCCGTGGGCTGTGGGCCGTGGGCTGTGGGCTGTGAGCCGTGGGCTGTGGGCCGTGGGCTGTGGGCTGTGGGCCGTGGGCCGTGGGCTGTGAGCTGTGGGCTGTGAGCTGTGGGCTGTGGGCTGTGGGCTGTGGGCCGTGGGCTGTGGGCCGTGGGCTGTGGGCTGTGAGCCGTGGGCTGTGGGCTGTGGGCCGTGGGCCGTGGGCTGTGGGCTGTTGAGCTGTGGGCTGTGAGCTGTGGGCGGTGGCTGTGGCATGTGGGCCGGGGGGCTGTGGGCCGTGGGCTGTGGGCTGTGAGCCGTGGGCCGTGGGCTGTTGAGCTGTGGGCTGTGAGCCTGTGGGCCGTGGGCTGTGGGCTGTGGGCCGTGGGCTGTGGGCCGTGGGCTGTGGGCTGTGGGCCGTGGGCTGTGGGCTGTGAGCCATGGGCTGTGGGCCGTGGGCTGTGGGCCGTGGGCTGTGGGCTGTGGGCTGTGAGCCATCGGCTGTGGGCCGTGAGCTGTGGGCTGTGGGCTGTGGGCCGTGGGCCGTGGGCCGTGAGCTGTGGGCTGTGGGCTGTGGGCTGTGGGCCGTGGGCTGTGGGCCGTGGGCTGTGGGCTGTGAGCTGTGGGCTGTGCACCGTGGGAAGTGGGCGGGCTGCAGCCTCAGGGCCAGGAGGGGGCTGGAGACCACGAGGACGCAGGGGGAGCTGGCCTCAGAGTGGGGGCACACAGGGCCCTGCCCAGCCGGTCGGTCCATGGCAGCGGCCGGGCCTCCTCCACAAAAACCATTGCAGCTCCAGGGGTGCTCAGCGCCACCCCCCCCCAGGGGACCCGGGCGCCATGGCTCCGGCTTCCACTTGCAGACCTGGGCCTGCCCGCCCAGCCACCAGCACCCTGTGGCTGCTGTTCTCCAGGCCGGGGTGGGGGGAGGCAGCGAGCGCGCCCTCCCAGCGGCTCCCCCCCCTCCGGCGCTGAGGGGCCTGGTGGGCGGTGGGCGGTGGCCACAGACCCTGCCCCCCCCTCCACAGCGAGGACAGCTTCGTGGTCCAGGACTACGCCCACGTGGACCACCTCCAGGTCCATAAGCTGGAGGCCACGGAGCTCCCCCCCGGCCGGCGGTGGCAACCGCAGCTCCTCGGTGCCGCACCCCTTCCAGGTGACGCTGCTGCACAACAGCGAGGGCCGCCAGGAGCGCATCCTGCTGTCCTCCGACTCCGCGTAAGCCCGGGGCTGCCTGGGGGAGGGCCGTGTGGCCGTGAGGGCGGCATTCCCCGCCCCAGCCCTGACGCTGCTCTGCAGGCTCACCCTCCCGGGAGGGGGCAGCCCAGCCGCAGGACGAGCAGCTGAGGGGTGAGGGGTGGGAGGACGGCAGGAGAGGGGGCAGGGGCCGGAGGGGAGGATGCCTGGGGCCCAGCCTCCAGCAGGCCCTGGGGCAGGAGGCCGTGGCCTGGAGCAGCGGAGGCCAGCGGGCTGGAGGGGGCGGGGACTCAGTGCGCTGAGGGAGCCCACAGACGGTCCTCCCCCGCCCCTGGTGTGCTCCCCCTCCCGCGGGAAGCTGAGCTCCGGTCAGACAGCAGCTCATAGGAGGCTGGGGCGCAGGGCCCGGCGAGGAGGCGGGGGGCTGGATGCTGAGGCGGCTGCTGCCCCTGGCTCGGACCCGGGCAGGTGGGCGGCAGCGCGCAGACCATATTGGAGGCCGCTTGCCCCATCCTGTCTGCGCCACACTGGGGTGGGGGTGGGGCTGGCAGCGTCAGCATCGGCACCCTCACGCTCGGCCCCCAGGAGTGACCGTGCCCGCTGGATCACGGCGCTGACCCACCGGGAGCAGCAGTGGCTGGGCCTGGCCAACAAGGGAGGTGAGCGCTTGCACACACACACCCCTGCCCCCCCCCGCCCCCCGAGCGGGCCGAAGCTCCTCCTCCAGGCCTGGGGGCGGGCGGGCAGGGGGGAGGTACTCTCCTCAGGCCCTCCGTCCACCCCGCAGCCTGACCCTGGGGGGCCTTCGGGGCCTCCCCCTTGTGGTGCCTGGAGCCCCTAGCTGGTGGGGACACACCCCTTCCTCCCGCCCCCTGAAGCTGGGAGCGCCCCTGCGGGCGGGCCCCTGGACCCTGAAAGCAGCCTGTCCCGCTGCGGGAGGGCCGGCTCTGGCCAGAGACCTGGGCCCTGGGCTGTCAGGGCCCACCCTCCCCGAGGACGGTCCCTCACGCCGGCCTCTGTCCGCAGACCTGCCGCAGGTGGAGGTCACCAAGGCCTACTTCGCCAAGCAGGGGGACGAGCTCTCGCTGCAGCAGGCCGACGTGGTGCTGGTCCTGCAGCAGGAGGACGGTGAGGAGGGGGAGGGCGCACAGAGGGGAGTGTGGCAGGGAGGGAAGGGGGGCAGCAGGAGGACGGTGAGGAGGGGAGGTGTGTCCAGAGCGGGGAGTGTGGCAGAGAGGGAAGGGGGGGCAGCAGGAGGACGGTGAGGAGGGGGAGGGCGCACAGAGGGGAGTGTGGCAGGGAGGGAAGGGGGGGGCAGCAGGAGGACGGTGAGGAGGGGGAGGGCATACAGAGGGGAGTGTGGCAGGGAGGGAAGGGGGGGCAGGAGGACGGTGAGGAGGGGGAGGGCGCACAGAGGGGAGTGTGGCAGGGAGGGAAGAGGGGGGCAGCAGGAGGACGGTGAGGAGGGGGAGGGCGCATAGAGGGGAGTGTGGCAGGGAGGGAAGAGGGGGGCAGCAGGAGGACGGTGAGGAGGGGGAGGGCGTCAGAGCCGGGGAGTGTGGCAGGGAGGGAAGAGGGGGGCAGCAGGAGGACGGTGAGGAGGGGGAGGGCGCACAGAGGGGAGTGTGGCAGGGAGGGAAGAGGGGGGCAGCAGGAGGACGGTGAAGACGGGGGAGGGCATACAGAGGGGAGTGTGGCAGGGAGGGCAGACTGCAGAAGAGGGGCAGGAGGACGGTGAGGAGGGGGAGGGCGCATAGAGGGGAGTGTGGCAGGGAGGGAAGAGGGGGCAGCAGAGGACGGTGAGGAGGGGGAGGGCGCATAGAGGGGAGTGTGGCAGGGAGGGAAGGGGGGGCAGGAGGACGGTGAGGAGGGGGAGGGCGTCAGAGCCGGGGAGTGTGGCAGGGAGGGAAGAGGGGGGCAGCAGGACAGTGAGGATGGGGGAGGGCGTACAAAAGGGAGTGTGGCAGGGAGGGCAGACTGCAGCAGGAGGACAGTGAGGTGGGGGAGGGTGCACAGAGGGGAGTGTGGCAGGGAGGGCAGACTGCAGAAGAGGACAATGAGGAGGGGGAGGGCGCACAGAGGGGAGTGTGGTGCAGAGAGGGAAGGGGGGCAGGAGGACGGTGAGGATGGGGTAGGGCATACAGAGGGGAGTGTGGCAGGGAGGGAAGGGGGGGCAGGAGGAACGGTGAGGATGGGGGAGGGCATACAGAGGGGAGTGTGGCAGGGAGGGAAGGGGAGGCGCAGGCAAGCTGGACCCTGGGCGGGCGGGCTGGCGAGGGTCTGGCCACACTGGCATGGCAGCAGCCCTGGCCCCCAGCAGAGGGCACTGCTCACGGCAGGCTGGGACCAAGACGCCCCCGAGGAGCAGGACAGAAGCTGTGTCCTCAGTTGGGGCTCCACTGCTGCTGGGACCCCCACAGGGGCCGGCAGAGCTGGTGGGGGCCCGAGACCTTGTGAGGGCCCCTCGGGGGAGGCGGCGGGGGGCTGTGGGCCCTCGGGGGAGGCGGCGGGGGGCTGTGGGCCCTCGGGGGAGGCGGCGGGGGGCTGTGGGCCCTCGGGGGAGGCGGCGGGGGGCTGTGGGCCCTCGGGGGAGGCGGCGGGGGGCTCCGGGCCCTTCGGGTGCCAGGCCCCGCCCTCACTGCCCGTGTTGGGCCAGGCTGGCTCTTCGGCGAGCGGCTGCGGGACGGCGAGACGGGCTGGTTCCCGGAGGACTTCATCCAGAGCATCACCAGCCACGTGGCCGTGGAGGGCAACGTGCGCCGGATGGAGCGGCTGCGCGTGGAGACGGACGTGTAGCGCCTGCCAGCCCGCCCGCTGGGCTCCGCCGCACCACACCCGCCAGCGCTGGGCCGGGCCCGGGCACAGCGACCCGTCCCAGGAGCCTACGTCCTGGACCTCCCCGGGGGCCGAGCCTGCAGCCGTGGCTTCAGATCGGCTCATGGGGCCACGCAGCCCCAACCCTGGCCCGTTCCCGGGAGGAGCCCAGCGGCCGTGGCCTCTGCACGCCCCCCCCCCCCCAGCTCCCACCAGGCTTCCCGCCCCGAGCACTCAGAACTGTGCCACCATCCCTGCCCCGAGCACTCAGAACTGTGCCACCGTGACGTGGAAGGACCCTGAGAATGGGCTGGCGTGGCTGCCCGCCTCCCGCCCCCTCGTGCCTGTGTGCACAAGAGACCTCGCACCCGGACTGCTGCCCCGGAGGGTGGGTGGGGACCGTAGGCCGGCGCACACTGTGACTGCACTCTCTGGGACACTGAAGAGCTGGTGTGACACCCGTTCCCACGCACAGCTGGGCCGCGCCAGCCACAGGAGCCCCGTGCCGGAGGGGGGCGGCCCGCGTGCGGGCCCTGTGCTGGGTCACTCGCCCGAAAACCTGCACCTCCCAGCCCCTGGGGAGGGCGGCAGCCGCGGCCCTCAGTGCCGGCCTGGCAGTCAGCGGAGGAGTGGCTGTGGGGCCTCCGTGCCACGGCCTGGGGGGCCTCAGTGCCACGGCCTGGGGGGGCCTCAGTGCCACGGCCTGGGGGGCCTCAGTGCCACGGCCTGGGGGGGCCTCAGTGCCACGGCTTTCGTGTTTCCCCCAAACACAGCCATGCCCCGTTCCCGAAGATCCCGGCACACGGTTGTCCATGTTCCGTCTTCAGTATCACGCCCTGGTGGGTCTGCCGTTAATGTCCTTTCTGTACATTTCTCCTCGCTTGACATTCAAACGATCGACAGTCTTGCTGGAGTTTTTTTATTCGTCTTCGGAGAAATGTTCTGAGTGTGCGTACATGAATGTGGCGTGACTATCGGCACACAGTGTAGCGTGAGAGCGCGTACACAGAGGTCTCCCTGTGCGTGTCCCTTTGCCCAGCGGCGTGGGCTTTGGAGAGAAAGCCCCCGGGGGACCGATTTCCACCTGCTCCACCGCCATCGCTGTGCCCACGCCCGTGTGTGTGTGTGTGTGTGTGTGTGTGTGTGTGTGTGTGTGTCGTGATGCTTTCCTGGAAACACTGACTCCTGCTCTGCGGCCTCAGCCTCACAGCGTGTGCCGTGTCCCCTGTCCGTGTGACCAGGTGCGCCCTCCCAGGGAATGCCCGCCCGGGCCCGGCTGGGTCCTTTGTCACCTCTTACCTTAGGCTTCCTCCCTCTTCCCAGACATTTCCCGCCTCCCCGGAGGGGACAGCCCCCAGGGGGTGTAGAAGGAAGCCCTTCGCCTCTTCCCAGCCTGTCCCCGCCCCGTTTACTTGGCCTCCCCCCCTCTCTCCCTCGTCCTCCTGCTCCTGTGACTGCGCAGGGCGGGGTCTCAGCTGCTGATTCTCTCACTAGGTTGTTTGGAGAGTGCGACTGGCTCATGGCCCCTGCACACACGTGCGCACATGTATGCACACATGTTCACACAGGCATGCGTACACACACCGTCCTCCAGGCACCCTCGGGACCGCCAGGAGCAGGGACCTGGGGCTGTGCTGCAGCGTTTATGGACGTCAGATTCGATTTCAGACTCTCCTTCAGCACTGAGAACAGCGCCCGGGCCCCCCGCTAGGAGCCGCACAGAGAGCACACGCACAGGCTGGGAAGCAGCTTTTTCTTAGCTTCCTCGGTCTCACAAGGTGCCCGCGCCCCGGGCCCCCGCCCCGCAGTCCTGAGTCCGGGCCTCCGGGGGCGGCAGGAGCCAGGCACCTCGCAGAGCCCATAAATACCGTCATATAAATACGCCGCGACCTTCCCGGCCGCAGTTCCGGGCGTAGCACCAGAGAGCCCGCCGGAGGGCAGGCCCGCCCTCCAGCACCTGCAGCCGCCCGGGCCGGTCCCCACCAGGCCCGCGGTGCCCCCGGGAGCGGGCGGGCCCTCAGCCAGGCCAGTCCGCTGGCTCCAGAGCTGCCCAGGCGGGCCTCCTGCTGCCAGGCCACCGTGCAGGCCCTGCAGCGGCCGCAGTGTCCACAGCCCGGAAGCCGGGGGCTGCTGTCCTGACCCCCGTGTCCCTCCGCGAGCTCCGAGCCCGGGGTCCTGTCGGCGGCGCCAGATGCGGCACGCTGCTGCTAGCGCTCCTCGGCCTGGCGGGGGGCGGCCTGGGAGGCTGCCGGGGACGGGGACAGGGGGGGAGGGGGTGTGTGTCAGTGCCAGGTGGGGCATCATGCACCCCTGCTCCCCAGCTCGGCCTCCCCTCCCCGCTGCCCCCAGGCTGTTCTCTGAGGCTCAGTCCCACCTGCGCCCACACCCCTCCCTCCTCCGCCTCCGTCCGCCGACACTCCAGCCACCCCAAACACCATCAGCCCTTACCTGGGCCCAGGGCTGGGGTCGGGGTCCCTGGGAGCTGGGGGGGCCCACCTGAAGGCAGACAGACCCACTCCCGTTAGTGCCCCACCCCTGGCAAACGGGGGGCCTCTCCCCCCATCCCCAAATGAGTGTTCCTGGACGGCCCTGTGCAGGCAGCACGGAGGATTGGGAGACGGGACTTCAGGCTGGGTGGGGGGAGGGGAGGTTTCACCACAGAAGTAGCAGGTCCCGTCCGAAGCGGGGGCGCCGGCCTCCCACACACAGTGTCCGTCTTCCCAAGGGGCCTCTGCAGGCAGCACCCCAGCCCCTCAAACGTGGAGGCTGCCCAAGGCTGTCTGGCCCTCTGGTGCAGTAACACGCCTGACCACCAGGTGCCGCCATAGCACCAGGCTGGCAAGGTTGGCGCCACCCCCCAGGCCTGGCCCTCGGTGGGAGGAGCCTGCCCTTGCCCGCTGCCGGGGCTGCTGGGGGCCGCAGGGTTACACTTTGCCCTTCAGAAGCCATGGGAACCCCAGGCCACCAGGACCGGTGGGCACTGCGCGCGGGGAGGGGGTGGGGCCGGTCACTCCCACGAGCTGGCTCACCTTGGCGGCAGGTGGGCCCCGTGTGGCCGTCCACGCAGTGACACCGGCCGCTGACGGGGTCGCAGTCAGCCCCGCCCCCACAGTCACAGCGCAGGGCACAGCCGGGCCCGAAGAAGCCGGCTCTGCAGTCTGCGGGGAGGCGGGGAGCTGGGCCAGAGACCTGCCGCCCACCCGCCCGCTGGCCGCCCTCGGGGGGTCCTGGGGGCCGGCCATGTGGCCCTCCCGGGTACGCACCAGGTACCAGCACCTGCCCAGACCCACTGCCCGGTCCCTCCCTGTCCGGGGGCCTGGCGGTCACGGCGCCCCCACAGCAAGACCACCAACAGGGCAGCCCTGCCCATCCGGCCGTGGGGGCAGGTCGGGGTCTCCTCCCACCTCCCTGGGGCACGGGGCACCCGGACACCCGCGGGCGGCCTGAGGGCGGGCGGCCCTGACAGCTGACCCGGCGGGAGCTGGGAGCAGAGGGCGCCCACCGGAGGGACCGCAGACTCACCGAGCTCACAGGCGTTCCCCGTGCGCCCGGGGGGGCAGAGGCAGCGGCCGGAGACGGGGTCACAGGCGGCGCCCCCCTCACAGGTGCACCGCTGACCGCAGGCCGCTCCGAACCAGCCCGGCTCACACCCTGGGGGGAGGGGGGCAGACTTAGCGCTCTCCTTCCAGCACCCATGGGCGGCGGGGCGGGGCGGGGGGGGGGCTCACCCTTCTCGCAGGACTGGCCCTGGGAGCCGGCGGGACACAGACACTGGCCGCTGACGGGGTGGCAGGGGGCTCCGTGCTGGCACCTGCACAGCCCCTGGCAGCCGAGCCCGTGGAAGCCAGGGGGACAGGCTGGGGAAACCGGGTGAGAGGCCTGCCTCAGTTTACCCGGTGTGCAAAGGGCTGGGTCTGGGCTCCCCCTGCTCCCCTCGGGGGAGTTCACGGGCTCCGATACGACCCCAGTCCCCTAGGCCCCGAGCCCAGGCGAGCCAGACCCGCAGGAGGGAGGGTGCCAGGCCGGCCGCTCACCGTGCTCGCAGGCCGGGCCGTAGAAGCCGGGGCCGCAGCGGCAGGCGCCGGAGCCGGGCTCGCAGGAGCCGTTGTTGAGGCAGGAGCAGGCCAGGCGGCAGGCGGCGCCGTAGCGCCCCGCGGGGCAGGCTGCGGAGAGCGGCGGGTGAGCCCCGGGCGGGCAGCACGATGACCCGGGAGCCGACCCTCCGCCCGCCCAGCCGCCCGGCCCCCACCCGCTCGGCCGCCCAGGCCCCCCGCCCCCCGCCCTGCCACCCGCCCAGCCCAGGCCCCCCGCCCCCCACCCAGCCGCCTGCCCGGCCGCCCGCCCCCCGCCTGCCCCCCGCCCGGCCTCCCAGGCCCCCCGCCTGCCCCCCGGCCCCCGCCCGGCCGCCCAGCCCCCGCCAGCTGCCCGCCCTCCGCCCGGCTGCCCGCCCCCGCCTGCCCCCCGGCCGCCCGCCCCCCGCCTGCCCTCGCCCGGCCGCCCGGCCCCCGCCCGGCCACCCGCCCAGCCCAGGCCCCCCGCCCCCCACCCAGCCGCCTGCCCGGCTGCCCAGGCCCCCCGCCTGCCCCCCGCCCCCCGCCTGCCCCCCGGCCCCCGCCCAGCCGCCCGGCCCCCGCCCGGCCGCGGGCACTCACGCAGCTCGCAGTGCGGGCCCGTCCAGCCCAGGCCGCAGGAGCAGCTGCCGTCGGCCGGGTGGCACAGGCCGCTGTGCTGGCAGGCGCACTGGTGCTCACAGCTCGCGCCAAACCGGTGCTGGGGACACTCTAGAGACACACACACACACACACACACACACACACACACCGTTGGTGCTGCGGCCCGGGCCGGACACGCTGAGGACCGTCCCACCAGCCACAATCCATTCCACCATCTCCCAGTGCCCCTCAGCCCAGCCTGCACAGGCACACGTGTGGGGGAGGGACCCCAATCCTGTCCTGCCCTCCGCCATCCAGACCCAGAGCTGAGGCCCCTCAGGGGAAGGGACGGAGGGCCAGGGAGCCTTCCTGGAGGCGGTGGCACTCTGCTCCCATCTGATTGGCCCCCGGCTGCCCTGCTTCTGGGGGGTGAGGACAAGGCCCGGCTGCAGCCAGGCCTGGGGCTGGGGACCCTCTGCCAAACCGGGGGGCACCAGCCCTCTGAGGACCAGAGGGCGGTAGGGGCTCAGGCCTGCCCGGCGCTGTGGGTATGGCCCTGGGACCTGCATGCCATCGAGGGCGTGAGCCCCAGGGCCACCCCATCTCTCCACCAAGGCCTGTGCTCCAGGCCCCCCACTCCTGGGGCCCAGCCCTGGGCCTGCGGGGACCCCACACCCAGGGGACCCCGCTCCCAGGGGACCCCACTCCCAGGGGACCCCGCTCCCAGAAGACCCCACTCCCAGGGGACCCCACTCCCAGGGGACCCCGCTCCCAGGGGACCCCGCTCCCAGGGCACGTCGGCAGGGGGCTGCTCCCTCCTCGGGCCCTCCTGCCACGGGACTGGACTCCCTGCTCGGCCCCATGGACACAGCATGTGGACGGCAGCCTGGTGGCTGGGCCGGGCCGTGGGAGGGAAGGCAGGGGTGGGGCTGGGAGGCCCGCTGACTGGGCGGGAGGTGGGTTCTGCAGAGGCCACGGTGTGAACATGGCAGGGACCCCAGCTCTGCCCCAGGAGCCACTGGCACCGGCAGCAGGAGGGCACGCACCGAGCTCACAGCGGGCGCCGGTCCTCCCCGGGGGGCAGAGGCAGCTGCCCGTCGCAGGGTCGCAGGTCGCCCCCGGCCCACACCTGCAGACGTGGGAGCAGCCGGCGCCAAACCGGCCTGGGGGACAGGCTGCGGAGAGAAGGGGGGCGCCCCGGCTGACCCCTCGCCCCACCGTGTGGGGGCGGGGGCGGGGGGCAGGGCGGAGTCTCCATCCACCAGCCGCCCAGACAGAGCAGACCGCCTGCTCCCCCTCCTCTGCCCGCTCCGGCTCAGGCACCTCCCAGCCCCGAGCCCAGCCTGCTCCGCGGCCACAGTGACTCACTGCCCCCCCACGGCCGGCACCCCCAGGCAGCACCCAGATGGCCACCCCAGACGGCACCCAGATGGCACCCCAGACGGCACTGCAGACGGGCGGAAAGTCCCGCGTGCCTGAGGGGAACGCCCTGTTCTCGGCAGGATGCCCGCTGGCCTCTGCGCGGAGGAGCACCACGCTGGTGGCATGATGGGGGCGGGGGCGGGGGCAGGGGCACAGCACACAGCCTGCAGGGACTCCCCAGCTCCCAGCCTAGGCGGAGGGGAGGGCCAGGGAGGCAGGTGGGCAGGACGCTGCCCTCCCTGCAGACTGGGGGGAGGGGAAGGGGGGCCCCACCCACCGAAGCTCAGGAGGAGCCCCCCGCCCCCCCCCGGCCACTCACAGAGGCTGCAGTTGGGGCCCAGGACCCCCGGGGGGCAGTGGCAGGTGCCCGTGGCCGCGTCGCAGGAGCCGCCATTGAGGCATCCGCACCGGTGCTCACAGCCGGACCCGAAGCGCCCGTGGGGGCACCCTGCGGGGGGGGCGCGGCTTGCCAGGGTGAGGGGCTGGTCTCCCCGCATCCCTGCCCCCGCCCCCCCCCCGCCAGCCGCCGCCCGGCACAGGCCCAGCACTCACGCTGCTGGCAGCCGGGCCCGTGGTGGCCCGGGGCACACACGCAGGCCCCGGAGGCCGGGTGGCAGGTCTGGTTCTCGCCGGGACACTGGCACCTGTGCCCACAGTTCTCCCCGAAGGTGCTGGGCGGGCAGGCTGGGGAGCAGACACCCGTCACCCCGAGGCCCCTCCTGGCGGGCTCCGGGGGACGGCGGCCCGCGCCCCCCAGGGCCACCCGCCCGGTCACCTACTCTGCTCGCAGCCCGGCCCGGTGGTGCCCGGGGGACAGCGGCACTCCCCGGTGACGTGGTGGCAGGCGGCGTCCGGCGGGCACTGGCAGCGCAGGGCACAGGCCTCTCCGAACCACCCGGGCGGGCAGGCTGCGGGGGGCACGGCTGGGCTGGGTGGGAGCCGGGGCCGGACCGGCCTGGAGGGCTCCCGGTGACCGCCCCCCCACCCCGCCCCGGTGCTGGCCGGGCCGGCTCACCACTGTCGCAGCGGGAGCCCCGCCAGCCCGGCGGGCAGAGGCAGGCCCCGGTGACGTGGTGGCAGGCGGCGCCCCGCCGGCAGGCACAGCGCTCCTCGCAGCCAGCCCCGAAGGTGCCCTGGGCACAGGCTGCGGGGACAGGCAGGGCTGGGCCGGGCACCGCGGCTCGGACGCACCGCCCTGCAGGACGCTGCCCGCCCCGGCCCGGCCCACTCACGGCTCTGACACGCGTCCCCGTCCAGCCCGCCCCGGCCCGGCCCACTCACGGCTCTGACACGCGTCCCCGTCCAGCCTGCCCCGGCCCGGCCCACTCACGGCTCTGACACGCGTCCCCGTCCAGCCCCGCCCTGGCCTGGCCCACTCACGGCTCTGACACACGTCCCCGTCCAGCCCGCCCCGGCCCGGCCCACTCACGGCTCTGACACGTGTCCCCGCCCCGGCCCGGCCCACTCACGGCTCTGACACGCGTCCCCGTCCAGCCCGCCCCGGCCCAGCCCACTCACGGCTCTGACACGCGTCCCCGTCCAGCCCGCCCTGGCCTGGCCCACTCACGGCTCTGACACGCGTCCCCGTCCAGCCCGCCCCGGCCCAGCCCACTCACGGCTCTGACACGCGTCCCCGTCCAGCCCCCCCCGGCCCAGCCCACTCACGGCTCTGACACGCGTCCCCGTCCAGCCCACCCCGGCCCGGCCTACTCACGGCTCTGACACGCGTCCCCGTCCAGCCCACCTCGGCCCGGCCCGGCCCACTCACGGCTCTGACATGCGTCCCCGTCCAGCCCGGCCCGGCCCACTCACGGCTCTGACACGTGTCCCCCGTCCAGCCCGCCCCGGCCCGGCCCACTCATGGCTCTGACATGCGTCCCCGTCCAGCCCGGCCCGGCCCACTCACGGCTCTGACATGTGTCCCCCGTCCAGCCCGCCCCGGCCCGGCCCGGCCCACTCACGGCTCTGACACGCGTCCCCGTCCAGCCCGCCCCGGCCCGGCCCACTCACGGCTCTGACACGCGTCCCCGTCCAGCCCACCCCGGCCCGGCCCACTCACGGCTCTGACACGTGTCCCCCGTCCAGCCCGCGGGGCAGAGGCAGCGGCCGGTGTGCGGGTCGCAGAGGCCACCATGGAGGCACCCGCAGCTACGCTGGCACCCGGCTCCGAAGCGCCCGGGCCCGCACTCTGCGGGCGGGCACAGGTGAGGGCGCTTCCTGGGCAGAGCCGTGACCCCCCTGCTCCCCCCTACCCCCCCTCCCATGCCTCTGCTCCCGGAGCCTCAGATCCCCGGCCCCAGGAAGGAGGTGCGAGCCGGTCACAGGCAGGCCCAGGCCTCACGCCAGACGCTGCCCCAGCCCCGCCCCAGGCGGGGAGCTCTGGCCGCAGAGGGTGGGGCGGCACAGGGGCCCTTAGGGTGCCCTCCTGCCCCGGGCTCACCCTGCTCGCAGGCGGGGCCGGCCCAGCCCTCGGCGCAGGTGCAGTTGCCGGAGACGGGGTCGCAGGTGCCGCCGTGCCGGCAGAGGCAGGCGTGCCGGCAGTCCTCGCCGAACAGGCCCGAGGGGCAGGCTGGGGAGAGGGAGTGCATGCAGCACCACAGCCAGGCCTCAGGCGCCCGCACACACCAGGGGCAGGGCTTCGTCCAGCACTGTTGCTAGGACGACCTGGCCCTGCGCCCCGAGGCTGCAGCACCCCCCAACCAGCTGTGGGGCTCAGGCTGCAGGGCGTGGCCCTGGGTTCTGAGCGGCCCCTTCCTTCCCTCGTTCCCCCAGTGCCAGGGCCCAGCCTCCCAACCGCCCCTTGGGTGAGCCTGGCACCCAGAAGCAGGGGCACCACCCAGACCCGGCTCACCCTGCAGGCAGCTGGGCCCCGTCCAGCCCGGGCCGCAGCGGCACTGCCCATGCACGGAGTCGCAGGAGGCCCCGTTGAAGCAGGCGCAGGCCTGGCTGCAGTTGTGCCCGTAGGTGAGGGCCGGGCACGCTGCGGGAGAGGGCGGTCAGCTGGGGAGACAGACCTGGGAGGAGCAGCTGCGCCCAGACCCCGTGCCCCCTCTGGCCTGGGCATCCCTTAGGGGCCCACAAACAGGGGCCCACGTGCTGGCCTCCGTGGGCAGCGATGTGCCCAGGTGGCCACTGGGCACTCGGGACAGCCAGCCAGGCCCTGGGAGCCAGTTTGGCAGAGACCGCCCGCCCCCGCCCCCAGGCAGCACCTGCCCCCGGCAGCACCCCGCCCCCAGGCAGCACCCCCGCCCCCCGCAGCACCCCCCCCCCCGGCAGCACCCCGCCCCCAGGCAGCACCCTGCCCCCGCAGCACCCCTCCCGCCCCCCCCCCCCCACCACCCCCCGGCAGCACCCCGCCCCCGCAGCACCCCGCCCCGACCCGCAACCCCGCCCCCCCCGGCCCCCCCCCCGCAGCACCCCGCCCCCGCAGCACCCCGCCCCCGACCAGCACCCCGCCCCGGCCAGCACCCGCCCCCCAGCAGCACCCCCCCCCCACCCCCCCCCCATCCGGCAGCCACCCCGCGCCCCCGCAACACTCCGCCCCGGCCAGCACCCCGCCCCCCGCGGCACCCAGCCCCCCCCGCCCCCACCCCCCCCCGCCAGCACCCCGCCCCCAGGCAGCACCCCGCCCCCGGCAGCACCCCGCCCCCGCAGCACCCCGCCCCCCGCAGCACCCGCCCCCCGCAGCACCCCCGCCCCCCGCATCACCCCCGCCCCCCGCAACACCCCCGTCCCCCGCAGCACCCCTGTCCCCAGCAGCACCCCGCCCCCCGCGGCACCCCGCCCCCCGCGGCACCCCGCCCCCCGCAGCACCCCGCCCCCGAGCACCCCACCCCCGCAGCACCCCGCCCCCGGCAGCACCGCGCCCCGGGCAGCACCCCGCCCCCGCAGCACCCCGCCCCCCCCCCGCAGCACCCACCCCCGCAGCACCCCACCCCCGCAGCACCCCACCCCCGCAGCACCCCGCCCCCCCGCAGCACCCCACCCCCGCAGCACCCCGCCCCGCAGCACCACCCCGCCCCCGCAGCACCCCCGCCCCCGCCAGCACCCCGCCCCCGGCCAGCACCCCGCCCCGACCAGCACCCCGTCCCCAGGCAGCACCCCCGGCGGCACCCCGCCCCCGCGGCACCCCGCCCCCCGCAGCACCCCGCCCCCCCCCGCAGCACCCCGCCCCCCGCAGCACCCCACCCCCGCAGCACCCGGCGGCGGCCTCACGCACTCTGGGCGCAGCGGGGGCCCTGGCGGCCGGCGGGGCAGAGGCAGGTGCCGCTCACGGCGTCGCACGGCGCCCCGGCCGCGCAGTCACAGGCGAGGCGGCAGTCCAGTCCGAAGAAGCCGGCCGGGCAGGCTGCGGGGGCCGGGAGGCGGAGGCGACCAGGTCACCGGCCCGTCCACACGCCCTGCCGCCTGCCCTGGCTCCCCCCACCTCCCGGCTCACCTCGCTCACAGAAGGTCCCCGCCAGCCCGCGCGGCAGGTGCAGGCCCCGCTGACATGGTCACAGGCGCCCCCGTGCTCACACCGGCAGCGCCGCCCGCAGCCCGGCCCAAAGTGGCCCGGGGGACACCCTGAGAGAGGGCCCCGCCATCAGCGGGGGACAGCGAGCCCGTCCTGCCCGGCCTCCGCCGTCCCCTCCCCTATCCCACCTCCCCCGCAGCCCGGGGACACCCTGGGAGAGGGCCCGCCATCAGCGGGGACAGCGAGCCCGTCCTGCCCGGCCTCCGCTGTCCCCGGGCCAGGACTATGGGCTTAGGGCTGGTGGACAGAGCAGCCCCTCCCTGCCCCGGGCACCACTCACCCTCGCCCTGCCCCTGCCCCTCCTGCCCAGACGGGGCCTGAGCCCCAGGGCGGCCTGTGGGGTGCTTGTGGGAGCACCTGCCCCCGGCCCAGCTCAGCCACCGCAGCCCAGGGCAGACGCCGGAGCAAAACCCGTGGTCTCAGCAGCCACCCCCCCGCCCGGTGCCCCTCGCTGACAGCTCCCGGCGCTGCCCGGTGAGCCTGCTGCAGCTGGAGGGGAGCTGGTGAGTCAGGGGAGTAGACCCCCGGCTTGTCTGGGGGCAAGCGGGCGGGGCCAGGCTCCCCAACACGTGTGCATCTGGTACACGCCGTGCATGCATTCATGAGGGTGCATGTGTGACTGTGCACGTGTGAGGGTGTGTGTACACGTGTGGGGCGTGTACGTGTGTGTGTGCGCGTGTGTGTGGGAGGGTGCACATGGGGGCAGGACTCACGCTGCTCGCACCGCAGGCCCCGGTAGCCGGCCTCGCACACACACCGGCCGCTGGCGGCGTCGCAGCTCCCGCGGCCGGCACTGCAGTTGCACGTGTGGCTGCAGTCGGGGCCCCAGTGGCCGCTGTCACAGGCTGCAACGGCGCCCGGTCACCGCAGGCCAGCGGAGCCCGCGGGCACGGGGAGGGAGGGAGGTGCTGGGCCTGGGGAGGCCCCAGGGGAGGGATGCCAGCGGGGCCGCCTACCTCTCTGGCAGCGGAGGCCGGTCCACCCCGCGGCACAGCTGCAGTGGCCCGTCGCCGGGTGGCAGTGCCCGTCGTTGGCACACGAGCAGCTCATGCGGCAGCCGGGCCCGAACCAGCCTGCGGGGCACGCTGAGGGCAGAGGGGAGGGAGGGGAGGGTGACCGTGGGGGCCGCGGGTCTCGGGGGCTGAGGGCGGAGGGGAGGGGAGGGGAGGGGAGGGTGAGCGGTGGGGGCCGCGGGTCTCAGGGGCTGAGGGCGGAGGGGAGGGAGGGGAGGGGAGGGGAGGGGAGGGGAGGGGAGGGGAGGGGAGGGTGACCGGTGGGGGCCGTGGGTCTCGGGGGCTGAGGGCGGAGGGGAGGGAGGGGAGGGTGGGTGGTGGGGGCCGCGGGTCTCGGGGGCTGAGGGCGGAGAGGAGGGAGGGTAGGGTGGGCGGTGGGGGCCGCGGGTCTCAGGGGCTGAGGGCAGAGGGGAGGGGAGGGGAGGGGAGGGTGGGTGGTGGGGGCCGCGGGTCTCAGGGGCTGAGGGCAGAGGGGAGGGGAGGGGAGGGGAGGGTGGGCGGTGGGGGCCGCGGGTCTCAGGGGCTGTGGGCGGAGAGGAGGGAGGGGAGGGTGACCGTGGGGGCCGCGGGTCTCAGGGGCTGAGGGCGGAGAGGAGGGAGGGGAGGGGAGGGGAGGGGAGGGGAGGGGAGGGGAGGGGAGGGGAGGGAGGGGAGGGTGGGCGGTGGGGGCCGCGGGTCTCGGGGGCTGCGGGCGGCGGGCGCTCACCGTCCTGGCAGCGGCTGCCGGTGTAGCCGGGTGGGCAGCGGCAGGCTCCGGTCTTGGGGTCGCAGGCGGCGCTGTGCTCACAGGCCGGGCAGATCTCCTGGCAGCCGAGCCCCCAGCGGCCCTCGGGACAGTCTGGCCCCCGGCCCCCACCCCCCCGTGGCACCTCAGTCTCCCGGCTCAGCACCGCACCCCAAACGTGCACAGGACAGGACTCCCGGCCCCTCTGGGCTGCGGGGTGCGGACTGCGGGTGCCGTCCCAAAGGGCGCCCCTAAGCCCAGGTGGGCTCAGCAGGAGGCAGGCGTCCAGGCCAGGTGACCCCCAGGCAGGAACACAGCCTCTCCGGGAGCCGCTCTGCTGGCACAGCCTTCAGGTAAGCTCGGACCCGACCCCCAGATGCAGGCCGGCCCGGCGCGGGGCCCCACAGCCTCTGGACGGGCCTGGGGTCAGGGCTCCCGCACTCAGCCCAGGGCTGGGCCCGCGAACACGGCCTGGGACGGGGCCCCGAGTGGTCCAGCCCAGGGAGCGAGGGGACCACAGCCGCCCCCCCACTCACCTGCCCCACAGTCGTCCCCCGTCCGCCCGGGAGGG